TTTTTTTATATTTATATATATATATATATATATATATATATATATATATATATATATATATATATATATATATATATATATATATATATATATATGTATATATATATATATATATATATAGTCTTCAGATACTTCATAATTTCGAGTCCTAAATCTGTCTAACCGTGTAGCTCAGTTGGTAGAGCGTCGACGAAGTAATTCGAAGGTCGCGGCTTCAAGACCCAGCCGCGGCAGACAACATCTTTCTGCTTGCGCTGGCCGCAGGGTATGGAAATTATATAATTCACACTCTAGAACATTTTCATCTTAACATTTTACGAAGTGTACAATTGCACAACTTTATATATAAATATACATATATACATATACATATATACATATATACATATACACATATATACATATATACATATATACATATATACATATATACATATATACATATATACATATATACATATATACATATATACTATATACATATATACATATATATACATATATATATATATATATATATATATATATATATATATATATATATATATATATATATATATATATATATATATATATATATATATATATATGAAGTGGAGTTCCTCAAGGTTCAGTACTAGGTCCTTTATTATTTCTTATTTATATAAATGATTTCACGACATCTGTTAATCATGCTACTGCCCGAATGTATGCATATGGTACTAACGTATCATTCTCAGCATGTGTTTTTTTTTAACTTCGATGGCAGATGAAAAAAGACCTGGAACATTTAGAATCCTGGCTTATAGCCAACAAACTTACTATAAATACAGTAAAAATTGAATATATGGTTGTCGATTCAAAACAAAGAATAAATTCACTTGTGGGTGATCTGACACTTTCCCTTAACGATATATAATAATAATAATAATAATAATAATAATTTATTTTGACTCTGTTTAGATATAGCACACAAAGTGCTAGTTTGACTGAGTAACTAATAGAATTACAAATATCTATATATTAAAATAAATATGTATATTATATTGTTAAATGACTAGATAAATAATGTGTAAGTCTAAACATCTTGAAATTCAAATTTACGAATGTTTTTCTTAAATATTACGACATTGTCTGCCGCTTTAACTTCATCTGGTAGATTGTTCCATATTTTAGGCCCCATATATCTTAACGAGTTCTTTCCATAGGTAACAGTATTAAATCTAGGTAATGTAAGCAATATATCTCTACGTAAATTTAAGAGTACTAAGTGCTTAGGAGTGACAATAGACGAATTTATCACATGCGCTGAGCACATAGATAATGTAATTAAAAAATTAGCGATCGGCATTAGTCTTCTACGTAGAAATAGAAAAGTCATGAAAAAGTGCGATGTCATGAATGTATATAGAGCTATTGTAGACCCTTATTTTGATTAGAAGATATTCTCGAGTCAGCATCTGAAGCGTTTTTCTCTTGCCCATCAAGATACACGTATTCTGTGAAGGCGACGGGTGAACGATTTAGAAGTTTTGAGGCCGATCATAAAATTGCTTATCAAGGATTCTTGGAGAAAAAACTTGTGGAACAGTTTAACAAACAGTCTTAGTTGCAATATTTTTTATACTATCGTCTGTTATTTGTATCAATAAGCATGTTTTAAACTTTGCAAATGATGCGTTGTTATGTGTTGCTAAGTCATAAGGTGGCGTGTAGGTAATTAAGTGATAAGGCGAACAAAAAATTTGCATAACTAAGTGTATCCCAATGGATAGTGTGGCGTAAGCATAGTTTATTTGATTTTTATGTCAAGGAAACTGTAATGCCTTGGTGGTCGAATGGTATGGCATTGGGGTTTGTCCCAAAATAAGGGGTTCGACTTCCTCACATTGCGAATTTTTTGTACATATAGCAGAGTTACACCCATCTCGGAAGAGATAAGTCGCGTATAGCAGATAGATTTATTACGAGGGCGTAAGACTTAAAATCGGACGTGTGGCTTTGCGGGCAAAAATTTAAACAAGAATTTAGATGTAAAACACATTTATTTCTTCAAAACGTTTTACAAAATTTGGTAAGGTCTACTTATAAGAGCGTGACGTCTAGGTGTTTTTGTTATTTTTAAAGAATTCTCATATTCTTGTCTGTCTTCTGGGGATAACTTCGCAATGTTCTCCGGCTTCATTGGAATATATTCTGGTCTGTCGCTCAATATAAAACGTTCATAATCCCCTCTTGCTTCCGGAGTCATTCGTGCTATGTCACGTTCGGTCCAATGTGCCGGTTCGACCCAATTGTGGAAAAAGTTGCGCTTGAGTTTTGGTCGTTCCTCTTCTGTTGGTGGTGGCGTAACTTTTTCCACAATTGGCTCGACCCAGCAGATTGGACCGAACGTAACCTAGCACGAATGACTCCGGAAGCAAGAGAGGATTATGAACGTTCTATATTGAGTGGGAGACCAAAATATATTCCAATGAAGCCGCAGAAAATTGCAGAAGACAGACAAGAATATGAGAATTCTTTAAAAATAACAAAAACACCTAGACGTTACGCTCCTAGAAGTAGACCTTGCTATATTTTGTAAAACGTTTTGAAGAAATAAATGTGTTTTAAATCTAAATTCTTGTGTAAATTTGTGCCCGCAAAGCCACGCGTCCGCTTTTAATGTCTTACGCTCTCGTAATAAATTCATATGCTATATGGGACTTATCTTTTCCGAGATGGGTATAACTCTGCTATACACTTCGATAAAAAATTCGCCATTTGAGAGACTCGAACCCCTTATTTTGAGAGAAATCCTAATGCCATACCATTCGGCCACTAAAGCATTACAGTTTCCTTGACATAAAAATCAAAGAAACTATGCTTACATCAAACACGTAATTATGTCCCTATCTATCCATTGGGATACACTTAGTTATGCACATTTTTTGTTCGCCTAATCCCTTAATTTCCTACACGCCACCTAATGGCTTAGCAACACATAACAACGCATCATTTGCAAAGTTTAAAACATGTTTATTGATACAAATAACAGACGATAGTATAAAAAAATATTACAACTAAGACTGTTTGTTAAACTGTTCCACAAGTTTTTTCTCCAAGAATCCTTGATAAGCAATTTTATGATCGGCCTGAAAACTTCTAAATCGTTCACCCGTCGCCTTGAATAATAGACAGATTTAGAAAAGACGACGCGATCTCAAAGACGACGTGAAAATGACGTGTACACCTCGCGTTCACGTCCGGGTTTTAATCTGGGACGGCTTGTTTATCTTTTTCGAAGCAAAATTTTGTTTTCTTGTTCCCTGCTCATTCCTGTATTGTTTTCAATCAGTTGTCAACTTATGTGCAAGAAAATTCTATATAAAACTGGCCAAGTGTTTCCTGATGAATTAGTATGAACAATCAATACGTTTTTTTTAGAAAAAGGCGCATATTTCGGTATTTTGAAAAGTGAACTTTGTTGCATCATTTGGAATAAATACTGTAGCTGCAGGTATTGTTTACAAGCTAAATGCTTTAGTTTGTAGCCTATTCAATCAAGTTTGTCAATTGTTTAGTATAAATAAGGCATCAGTGCTTATATTGATAAAATGTAATACTGTTAAGATAGTTTTTCACGCTGGAAAGCGTTTTTTTACTTCCCCTATTTTTTCGCACTGTTGTGACAGAGCAACTAAAATTGATTGAGTTTTTACTGCTTTTAATTGCTTTTATTCTTCTATCTTCCCAAGTTTTCTTGATTTTAAACAGTTTTTAATATACAGTAACTTCACTTCAGTTTGTTCTAAAATGTTTGTGTTTTTGTAAAATGTTTGTTTTGGTGAACTTGTTGATTTGTTATGGCGACCGAAAGTATTTGTCAAAAATTAATACGTTCAAAATTTAGCGAAATACAAGAAAAACAACCTTGTCAATGAAAATCCTTTAACTAGAATCATTAAACAATACTTGGGGAACAAAATAGGATGATTTTTATCATGCATACTCTCATATGTTTTTCAAAAGAAGCACAAATCTGTGACGTTCTAGAGAGGACGTAAAAATTGAATTTTCGCGTCGTGAAATTGTCCAAGACGATGTGGAAAATCAGAAGCTGACGATAGTTGGCGCCAAATGACGCCATCCACGTCGTCTTTGAGGTCGCGTCGTCGTCTTTTCTAAATCTGTCTAATGTAGCTATTTATAATACATGTAGCTCGGTGGGCAAGAGAAAAACGCTTCAGCTGCTAACTCGGGCGGATCTTCTAATCTCCAATGAAACAAATAGTTCAGTATACATTGTAGTTCGTGGTTCTCAGTGTTCTGATGTAGTTTCACCAATGAATCGACAAACGTAGAATCTGGATCTTTTTCCATTTGCTGTAAATGTTCGAGTAGATCTCTCGCAACCCTCAGTTTAAGTACCCTCATTGCCTCAGCGAATTCACAGAAAACCATACTCTTATCATTCACTCGTTCGATCGCTTGTAAACCATACATTTGCCATCGTTCGTTTTCATTCATCACGAGACAGTCATGTTGCCTTTGACTAAGATGACTGACTTGACAACAATTACAGGATTCCACACAAAGTCTTTGAACTTCGTGTCCGACTGCATTCGCATATATTTCTTCCGATAAATTGTAAGATGCGGTTTTTGCGTGCAGACACTCCATCGAAATGGCAATAGAGCTATGGCAAGCGTTGTCTTTTGTACTGAAAATTCCGAGGTCTGCTTAATGACTGTTTCGGACATTTGGTTGCGTTACCTGTCACATTCGGTCCAGGCTTGCCCGCGTTAATTTGTCGTGTTACTTGTCACATTTGGCCCAGGCTTGCCCGAGTGACGTCATATATTTTTCATACTAATTACTTCCGCCACCAAATTAGACTTGCGTACTAATTACTTCCGTCACCATATTTTGCATACTAATTACTTCCGTTGCCAGACGGTGGTCTTTCACCACTCACGTAGCATAATAGGCGCTTTCGCTTGTGTTTCCAGTCCCTGTCTTCTGCATTGTCTATGGTCTGAAGTACTTCGTCCAGAGACAACCGAAATAATAACGGATCACTCAACAGTCCTTTATGAGTTTTCTGAGAATATTAAAGCAAGACCAAAAGTTGAGAGGTATGTCTATAACGAGGGGAAATTAGTACCCTCGAAGCGCCGTCGGCTCGGGAATAAAAATACACAATCGTCAGTCGAGTCTGTTCAACTTGTCTACATGCTAAAATATCTTATCTGAAGCCAGAAATTATATCAAAATCACCTTGGGCTTCCACAATCGTTGATATCTCTATTCATAACTTGAATGATCTTGACAGAATTAATAAAAAGTGGGTTTAGACACGCGGAAAGCTCGCAAGTGAAGACAATACAAGGCTAAGTCCTGCCATTTCGAGAGAGCAGAACTGCGCATTTGTAAACAGTCGGTTTGAGTATGCGCAGACCTAATTAGAAACCAAGATTTCTTGTATGAATTTACTATGAAATATACTAGCGTATCCTGCCATTTGAAAATGCCAGGACTGAAATACGAGTCGCGTGTAAATCAATGTAGAGTTGCTGTTGCTAGGTAACAGACACGGCAAGCTGTAAAAGGGCGTAAATATAACAGAATGCGAAAAACCTTTTAAAAAATAATAACGAAAAAGACGAAAAACGAGACAAAATAACAATATGATAATGATGATTTTTTAAAGCTTGAAGATAAATAAAGCAATGTTTTAGTAAGGAAACTTTGGGAAATTGTTAGTCATGCTGGGCATGACAAGCAGGACCGCTAGCCACGCCACTGAATTAAAAGCATTTTCAAAGATAAATCATCAACAGTTTTAAAGTGAGCCGCATTCAGTATCTGTTTGGCAGTGTCCACTTGTTTACATTGTGATTTGTGGCAAAAGAGTTACGCTTCAAAATCAATCAACCTTCAATAAACAAGACGCGCACTATAATTAGTAAATCGGCACAAAGTATATCAACGTTCGCAAACAAATCTATGAATGGCATATTTTAGAAACCGAGATAAAAGCGAAAATATACAAAGGTTGACGACTGACCGGATTGATATGAAAATATGTTTGAGAGAGAATACACAACTTCAAACTTTAAGTAATAGTACACGATTTATTTTGTTTCTTGATTTGATGTTGATAAAATGCTACAGTGATTTTGTAATTTAAAAGCAAACAGAAGTATAAAATAGAAGTTAGCGGGCGCTTCGAACTATACATCGTAATATCCCACTCCTGGTATTTGAAATTTAACATTTTCTATGAAAGCATGTAATTTGATACTTAGCCAGACAATACCAGGGTCTTTCACAAAAAGAGGATTTCAATGGTGATTTTCATTTAAAAGGTTGGTAAATACTCGCCGAAGTATTTATATTATAAACAATTGAACCGAATACTGTAATTTGAGGCTTGTCGAGAAAGAGTTTTTTAGCGACCTGAGAACATGCAAGGTCCTGCTCAAGAACATTTAACAATTATTCGACGAAGGCGAGGTGATTATCGGAGAATATTCACCGAGACAAAGTCGAGGTGAATATTCCCCGATAATCACCGAGCCTGAGGCAAATAATTGTTTTAGTATTTTCGTGTGTTTTGGGACTGAATTTATTTTAATTTCGCTTATTTCTTTATCAGTATAATGGCCACACAACGGCTAGCCGCCATTTTGAAAATTTCGGTTCTGTTATATTCACCTGTAGGTGAATATAACAGCTTAATACGTCAAATTTGACCAATCAATTTGTAGGATTTTTTATGTTCACTTGTGCAAAAATACTAAAAATCAACAGTAACTGCAGCACTTACTTAAACTTTAAATCTGTCCAAAGCCAAGTCTCTGGGAAATATTTACGAACTTTCAATGGCACCTCTTCTGACATAATTTCTTCGAGTTGGACGCCGGTTGTTGAATTGAGTGCGATTTGGGTGGGTTCAGTGTTGTTCTGCGACGCTATAAAAAAATTACAAACATTTATACATTCCATAAGGTGGAAGCTAACATAAATGTAAACCACGACCAAGTGCATGTGTGCAGAGTAAACTATTAATATAACTATTAGGATGATTTCGAATCCAATTTAATTTGGATAAAACGTGCACGAATGAGTTTTTGAAATGGCATCAAAATAGCATAAGTGCCACTTGAGGTGTTCCAAAAACTCACGAGTTCTTGTTTTCATCAAATTCTGTCTAGAAATAGTCAAATTACTTATTATTAATATGCGTATAGGAATGTTCTAAATAATTGCAGTTTTTAACTCGCGACAAACGCGACGATTTCCACTATCAAAATTTTTCTGCTTTGCCATAACTTTTTTGGGACGATTACGGTTTGATATTATCAGTCTAACGTTTAAGTTTTTTTACTCAGAGATGTGGCACTCATCATATAAATTAGCCTTATGACTACAGCAAAAAAAACAACACAGTATTTATGTACAAGTGGATGGAAGTTTAAATTGATCCTATTTACAAACCAAGCAAAGCAATATAATTATTTTGTCTTTTGATAAATTGACAGGACGCGGAAGTATTAACAATGCATATCATAACACCAAGCTATTAATATTGCGCGGTACATTTAAACAAAAATGTGTCTGTCACGAGTGCATGCCCTTTAAATGTAAGTTGAAAGAAATTTTTTCGCATTCCTGCATTAATTAAGAAACTAATTCATTACGTTTGTTCAAAGTAGTTAATCCAGGTTTGCATATAATAAAGTATTTAATTTCCCACAGACAGAGATCTATTCGAAGCAGGGCTGTAGAGTTTGGTATGGCAATTATTATAGCGTATAGCAAATCAGTTCGTTAGGAATAATGAATTAATTGCTTGTTTGCAATCGAGGCCACCTGCGTTGATTTTTCAACCATTGAACCATAACATATTTCTTAATCTTCATTCTTTATCGTATGACGCCAAATACCGTATAAACTAGCCATAATATACAGCAAAATTTTTAAAAACAAACCAGAATATATTAAATTAACTGATTCCTAATTACAATAGTTTTTGTCATTATTAACATTGTAGCGATTTATGGCCTCTGGAAGTCAAGCAAGATTGTATATGATCAAATTACTCATCAAAAATATAGATTGGCCATATCTTTCGCAGACCATAACTTCGGCGACGCTACTGGGGTAATTTGACCTTTAGAATCAGTTTCCGTGTGGTTGCCGACGTCTACCGAGTGCTGGAAATTAAACATCGCATTGTTTCTACAATCAATTTGTATTTCTGGTCGAAGCACTCGCTAAAAATTTAGATATTCTGAAATACTGAAATAAAGATGCAAGCTGCAGATACAAGCTTGAAAATAACAATCTAAATAGTGTCTTGGATTGTGATTCGAACAAAATATGTTGAAAGTTATGTTCGGCGAAAGGTATGCCTTGCATGTTATTACATTGTTTACATTGTTCGGGAAAATCGTGTGAAAATGGTATCGCTTGACCTCTAAAGATCCTAAAGCGCTATAATGATGAAATTTTACTAAACCCATCGTTAGGAATTGTTTCACTTTATTATATTCATTTTGAAATCAATGGTGTTTCCTGCAATCTGATTGGTTCACAGAAATGCGATTTCAGCACGAATCGCGCTCTTAGCAGTGGGATTCGTGCTGAAATCGCACCTTCTTTCAACCAATCACATTAGAGGGCTGACTTCAGCCAACTAATCATATTTAATCATAGGATTCAAACAGCCAATGAATTTTAAGAAAAATGTGATATGGCAAACGAGCAAAAACAACAAATTTACATTTCGCGATTTAATACTCAACAATTTTAATACTAAGCAATACTAAGCAATTTTTTGCACATAAAAAAATGGATAGCTACAGTAAACTATCAAAGAATTGCAAAGAATTTTAATTTTTTTTTTAAATTTCACATTAGTAACTGACAAAAATGCCAACAAAAGCAAATTTAAAGCGTCAGCTCAGACAGGACGCCCGGAAAACAAAGGTAAATTCACCTATCGTATTTCCAATTTTAAACGCACAAAACAGCACCAGAACTCTTTCAATCACTCGTAAGACCTACAATATGTTTAAACTTACTTGTGTTGTCTCTTATTCTTTATAAATGTCTTCATTTCTTTTAGATTTTTGCAGTATTTGAACCGTATTTATAAACAAAACTTACAAAATGTTTCATCTTGTTCGTTTACTGTTGCTATGCTACAGCACTCAGGGAGGTACCGAAGGTGTGCCTTTTGCAAACAAAAACGTTTCCGGTTTACAAAAATATTTAAGATTTCAAAATGAATATAATAAAGTGGAAATTGAACTTTGTGTCGTGCAATTTTGGACTGAAATCAAACTTGTGATTACAAATCGCACTCCCGCATCGCGTTCGTGCGATTTTGTATTCACGCGTTTGATTTCAGTCCAAATTGCACTCCACTCAATTCAATTACCATTTTGAATCGAACGGCGGTATTTCCACCTACATAGCATGCACTGAACCAAATATATGAACATCCAAATGAACTGATCGATATCGTCCTGGTCTAACTGTTATATTCTCAAACGAATAAGCGAGTATGCTTTTAACTGCAATATTTCATAAACCAACGGCTCTTGCATGCCCCTAGCCTTTAACTACAAAATTTCACAAATCAACGCCTCCATATAACCTCCCATCAAATACATCCCAGAATTATATTTTTTCTGTAGTTTGCGTATAATTTCAAACATACAGGGCTCCCTCCATGCATCGACATTGCTAAATCGTACCTTGGGAAAAAGTTCATGCCAGTTGCAATATATAGACCTACAACTTCTGCAGACGTTTTCGAGTTGGTGTGTATAAATTCATATAGACGGGCAAACTGAAATATATACCCGCGAATCGGACTCGAGACCAAGTCGATGAAGATCTTTCGCTTTCTTAGAGACAAGCTTCCTACAGGCTTGATAAAACGTATTTCGTTTTCTTGTCTTCGCGTGAATTTTACAATTAATTTGGGTGCTGCAGATTGATTATACGATGTTATTGGATGCGCGATTGATATGTCGTCAACTGTAACGGGAACACCAATTTTTTCGCCAATTGAATTCACTATTGCTTCGCATGAGACTTTCCTTGTGGGTTTAATTCCAGCGATTTCCGAACAGTCACGAATTATATGTTGTGCAAGTTCTTCGACTTGCTGTGCATGTTGTTTCTCCTAATTTAGTTCTGGTCTAGCTTTCTTTAAATTCTTGATTTGCAAATCATGGTTCTTGTTCATTGAGTGCAGTTCGCGATGCAATTCGTCGCAGGCTATTTGTCGAAAATAAACTTGACAGAATATCTAGACCCAACACAAATAGAGCTAATAATTCGTGTGGAATATCGTACGTTGATTGGCGTTGATTTCTTTCTTAAAAGGTCTTTCATCTCCTTCACCGTAAAGGACATCTGCTTCGTACGACGATAAAGTCATCCTTGGATTTGGACTACAATCCTGGTCAAAAATCCTTTGCGCACTTAGTCGAAGTAGCATAACCTTTACTTCATTTCTGACCACCATTTACATACTTGCCCAGTTTATGCAAAATTTCATGTCCAAACACCCCCTATCCCCCTTGTCAATGTTGTGTAACACATTGGACGTATAACACACAACACACAACACTGAACGGAGGATGGGGGGGGGGGGGGTTACTATTCTTGTTATTGATGTGGGAGTCAAATTTCGCACAGTCAGTGTCAAGTGCGGCAATATTTTTGATAACATTGAACGGGGGAAGGGGGGTTGCTATGCTTGTTATTGATGTGGGATTCAAATTTCGCACAGTCAGTGTCAAGTGCACCAATATTTTTGACCAGGATTTTAGATCAATATTAATTCATACTTCGACTGGATCAAGTCCTTGGACTGGATGAAATGAATTCGGCTCACTTTAAGTAGTGATTTAATCGAATGAATTAGTATGGTGACATAAAGACGATATCTCACTGAAATCGATCCTTGTCCCGCTATTTTAATCTATCATTGATGGATCGGGTTAATTATCAATATTCTAATAAATCCAGATATAAGGAACAATTATAAAACAAACAGCCGTTATCGTAATCCGGGCACAGGAATATCACCATTATTGCATGCAGGACGATTTCATAAATGTCTCTCGATGCGAAAAAACTGGTATCGTGTCGACGCTCATATATTTTGCCTTTAGCAGAGCGATGAACAGTGGCGCCGCCAGCTCGATAATTGGGGGGGGGGGAATATTCATATATTTGTGTTCATGCACAGACCACAAAAACAATCGATTTCAAAAGAAGTTAATAATGCAGAACACGAAGATATGAATATTCGCCCCGCCAATTATCGAACTGGCGGCGCCACTGGCGATGGCATAAAAACGATAACTATGTGTCACTGATAACGTTTTCGGTAACTGATATCGTCTTCTGTCACTGATATTGCTTTTTGTCCCACTATTATCATAATTGTTGGAACGGGGCAATGATTAAAATTATAAAAAATCCTGATCCGGGTGAAGGCGGAAGTGCAAATAAACAGGTTTATTTGTACTTTCGCCCTAACGAGGCGACAACAGTTTTAACGAGTTCAGGATGATTTCATAAATGTTTCTCTTTCGGTGCGCACACTCGTTACATTTATGATATCGTCCTTCATTTACTGCATAACAGTTGTCGTCATCTTCTGACATTTTGATATATTTCTGAAAAGCCACTAGCGTTCATTCCACCTATGCATTGAATGAGGGAGATGATGGATTCATTTCAATTATCTTACTTGATGTAGATAATCCAGATTGTAGATTAATCCAACGTGCATCAGGCTATATATGGCCAAGCATACAAGTGGCGCGCGCGTGCGAGTAAAAACCCTATATTCTGAAAAATTCAAAATAAATATTTCTACTCGCCTTATTCAAACGAAACTTCCTACACGAAAGCGCTTTAATACAAGGAGTATTTTACTCATATTGACTCCAGCGACGTGCTGCATGGGGTCTTGAAAAGGACGACGAACGAGCAACGTCTGATGAGGCCAGGCCCAGTGACGGGATGGATCAAGATTGGGGCGGGGGGTATTACTGATCAAACATGAAACATTTCAGTAATGTTTTCGTAAATTTAGATTTTTTAAATATAAATTGTAATATCTTAGTCTTGATTTTCAGAATTAAAATCTATATTTTAAAGTTAAAATCTACAAGTAGAAACAACAAAAATAGTAAAAATTTAAATTGGGGTGACGAGAAATTAAGTTGTTTACTGGCACTGACGAGTAAAATTGTCTGGCGTTGATAGCAGGGCCGTAGCCACTGGGGGTCTGGGGTTTTCAGCCCCGCCCTCCCCCCCCCAAAAAAAAAAACTTGTAAACTAGCGATAATCTGTGAAGTTTTAGAGGGATATAATTACCTAATAATCGCCCCTGACTAATCAGCTCCCCCAATACAAAATTGCTTCCCACAGGTAGTGGATAGGCAGTAACTATTAAAGTATAGCTCATTGCCAGCCAATGGCGATTAATAAGAGACATTAGCAGATACTGACAATACTCTACAACTGATAAGTAAAATCGTCTGGCGTTACAGAGTGTAAAATTGTCTGGCGTTAGACAGAGTTAATACTAAAGTGGGGTGCATTGTCAGCTAATGGGTATGCCGTTTATCCACTTTTGACCCAATGGCAACTTTTTCATGTTGGTTATTTACTCATGTTCCGTGCACGCAATTTAAAGCTAGATTACAGTCGTTTCTGCGCATGTGTCAAAAATGTAAACAAATGTGAGCACACTTGCTTTGATTTTGTGTGCTCTCCAGTCCTTATTCGGATATGCGCGCTCAAAATGGCCGACTCTAATGCTGGTCGCCAAAACCAACCAGGAAATCGAAAAGAACATTTCGCGAAAAGGTATGCAACAAAAATGTACTTTAATGATACTATTGGTCGGTGAAATCATTTCAAAACTGAAGCTGGAATTAAAAGTGACGAGGGTTCGCGAATACTATGCTGATCGAGCCTGTATACGAAACATCAAGACGGATTTAATTGTGGTAAGCACATTGCTAACACATATCCCTGGATATTTCAGTTATGTTAATGTTGTTATATTTCCTCATTACAAAATTTTATTGTTCACTTATAGCGCTGTGGAAACCCAGACGGATCAGTAGCCAGATGAAACAATACAATGCAGACATGAGCCATTGCCAGTATATATTCAGCAAGGGGAAGAAACAGCAATGGAGCCATATAAAGATTCTTAAAGATTCTCCTAGGCCGTACGAATACATCCTACAACTTATAATGAAGGTATGTATAACATTTTATGCTTTCCTGAATCCTAGTGAGAAAAAAAGTGACTTTTAGTTTTCACTTTTCATTATGAAATTCCATATTCTTCATATATGTGGAATGGTGTTGCAAGTGATTACCGAAGGCAAATCGCTCCTAACATAACCCCTGTCCCTCCTCCTTCAGTCAAAGAACTTGTTGAAACCCATCAGTATAAATTCAACTGATCACTGTAGACAAGTGTCTGCCAGTTAAAACAAAGTGCTCTGTTAGGTGGAGCTCATAATCCCTGAAAGGCAATCCACCTAGGAGAAGGAAATCTGATTACAAACCCCTGGACCTCAATACTGAGCCAGGGTGTCCATATTGGATTCATTGATCTTCGGTGCACAGCAATACACTTTTCAGGACTGAAGTAAGGAGCAAGGAGTAATTTTAAAGAATAAAAACATCAATGTCAATATACAAAATGTTGTGCTTGAACATCCAATGTATTTGATAACTGGTCTTTCACATAATGAAATATTACTGTTCATAAACATTTAACCATTAACATGATAAAGGCTTTCATTTGTTAGCAAAATTTGCTGTGGTTAGTAGACAGAGAAAGCTTATAATAAGTTTGAAGCAATTTTGAACTGCAATTTTCTTCTTTTGGTGTATGTGTTAGAATAATCAAGCCACGCAAAGTAATGTTTCCTGTAATTTTGCTAAAACACAAATGCCAAAAGGAGAAAATCAAAGTTTAAAATCGCTTGTGTGAACGGGCCTTAACAGGTGTGAATTACCCAAGTTCTTTCAAAATATTTAAAATGATCCTCCCTGTCATGGGGAAATAATTGCAGTAAAATGGATTAATGAATAATAAAGTTTCCCTCAATGATCCCTCTAATAATGCATGGCCATGTCAAGATCGAACATTTCCATCAAGTACTAACTGTGCCACAGTGGGAAGAGAGGGCTAGGCGGTTATAATGCAAGGCTGTCTTGATTGTGTACAGCAATTGTTTACCCATTTTGTTGGCATTGCAACAAAGCATCCACATTTGTAATACTTTGAGGCATTTTCTGGTTTTTCGTAGCTGGGTCTGGTTGAAGCGGTTCACCTGGCAATTTACCAAATTGACAAATGCAGCTGGCTGATGCTGTATAAGCTCTAACGCAAATGCTCTTCAAAGGGCATTTAAATCCATTGCTTCCACAAGATTCTGAAATGAACATATTTATCATTAATTAAATGCAAAGACTCCAGCACAGTGAAACACAGATATTTCTTACCACCAAATTACTGCATTTTCACATCTATGTACACTTGTATATAGACAGGTAAGCCTTTTTACATAATTTGATATTTTACCCGGCAAGGATATGCATAATTATGTGGGGTATTTAATAAAACAAATCATGTGTGTTAAAGCCAGTGGTTAAAGCTTTCAGAAATATAAGTCTGTGTATATTTTTGACAGGCAAAGTATCAAAATATGTAAACAAAGTTTACCCAGCTATTGTTAGATAATCATTATCCTTTGAGTGAACTATCGCGGTCAACAATACATATTCTCAAATGAACCATTGCTCAGGCCACATTTTTTTGCGTATAAACTAACAAAACATGTATAAAGTTATAAACTAATGAACAAATACAATAAGATTACATGTGAAGCACGTTTCTAACGAACAGTACATAACTAATAGCAATAATACAAACTCACCATCTGTCGTTCGATTGTTCATACATGTATCAAGATCCTCTTCGCGGCACGCGCTTGAGCAAAAAATACCCATACTCTATCGAAGACAGAAGCTGGAGGCCCCGCTGGAGCAAGCCGCGACATGAACATATCGTTTCCAATTCTTCCAGCGAAAAGCTTTCTCCGAGTGCTTCTGCCATGACAGCAACAATGACTTTGGCAATGTGTTTTGACGAACAAATACCCCAAGGAAAAATTAGTGATTACTTTGACACTTCCAAAGTTTATTTTACAATGCCGAACATTAATATAATCAACACAATGACTCGCACCTTTGGGTCGGCTTTGTCGGTCTCTTCTGAATGTTTCATCAACGAGGCACACAAAAAACAAATGCCGAATTGATCAACAATATATCTTCCATTCATGATCTTTCAAAATATTTAATTGCTTGTCTTTCAGAAGACAATTTTAAAAAAATTAACAACTCCACTCCTGACTCGGACTCCATTTATATAGTGCATAGCCGCTATACTTCATATTATACAATTGAAGTGGATTCAAACCAAAACAAAAAATGTAAACAAAGCACGCACATGCGCAGAATGGACTGTAATCTAGCTTTAAGAATAAGTTCATTGGGTCAAAAGTAAACTCCCCTTTAGAGTGGTTTTGCATTCAGTTTCTGTGGCAAAAAAGGCAGCACTTTCCTTGCGATAGTAACTCCTAGTATAACACGCTATAATTTGCAGCAGTAGCAACACAATATGAAGATAACACACAATGAAGCCGAAATATTTGAATATTTGCGCGCCGCATGATCGAGCTTTCAACCAATGAGGATAGCGCCGCCGTGAAATTTGTGAACGTTTGTATGGGAATATATCTGCTATTGTGGTGCGAGGGTTCTATTAGGATTGCTTCTAAGTGTCAGTGCGATGGAAGCGATACAAACTGATTAAAATGGCTTTAGTATATTCATATTTCAAGCATAAAGATGGCTTTAAAACAGTGTGAGGAAGAAGCGAGCAAGGTTGCCGTTTGTATTTGAATGACAAAGGTCTGGCCGCCAATGCAATTCAAAACGTGTGGTTCACAGCGTCAATGCTTTAGAATTAGTTCGCCTGTAACTTCAAAGATGTGATAAACGTCGAAAGGAATAAGGTGAGTTATTATAATACTGCGAGAATTATAGTGATTGTTGTCTGCGATTGTCGTATTTATATAAATACGACCGCCATTATGCTGAGGCTATTCTCATTGCCATTGCAGTCTCAGTTAAGAAAACTTGCGCGCGTTTTGATTTACAAGTACTGTAGTTTTGTCTGATTTATCTTGCGTTTACTGCTTTCATTTAAATTATAAAGACAAGTATTTTAGAACCTGAGATGGAAAATCGGGAAATGGTTGTTAAATGCCCAACCTTAACTATATCATATACATAAAACAACAATACTTTATTCATTAAATTTCAATGGCAAACCAAAACGGTAATGTTTTATATTGATTACTGAACGATGGAATTTATTTTATTAAATACTGTCTGTGACCTGAGCTGGTGTTTCATGAATATTTTTGCCAACTCGAATTTTATATTTGATTTTTAACCATTAATTTAAGCTGCAATGTTCCCAAATATACCTTATTTTATTGTTTTATTCTGGCTAACGCAGACAATTTTTAATTTTTTATCTAATTTGCCAAGGGGATCTTATACCGTAAACCTCCGACTATAAGCCCTGGGCTTATATACTTTCGTAAGCGATTTTTGATGGGCTTATACAAGGGGGGGGGTGTTATATACGGGGGGCTAATACATGGATGATCTTTTGTGTTAGTAATAACCAAATCAGACATAAACAAGTCAGTCATAAACAGGAAAATAAACATCCATTAATAACATGCTTTGATTAATGTAACATATAGTCGGCTATAAAGACAATGACAATTTTTTTTTAAATATCGTTCTCTGCTATATTAAAAGACAATGAAAATGTTGAATAACGTAGTGGGCTACTGGGCTTATATTCGGGGGACTTATATTTGGGGGGCTTATATTTGGGTGTGCTTATGTTCGGGGGGGCGCTTATATTTGGAATGAATTGAGCGTTAGTATATGTGGTGGGCTTATATTCCGGGGGCTTATATTCGGTGGGGGGTTATAGTCGGGGGGGGGGCTTATAGTCGGAGGTTTACGGTATAATGACAGAGATAATTTTACCTATCATTGGGCTATCAATGGGAGAGTACTGAGTATTAATATTTAAGAGTGAAAATATTGATTATGATATAATGTTCACATTCAATTCAAGCAATTTTTAATCAGGAAGCCTACGTCACAATAATGTGTTTTTCAGTAGGGTACTGCTAAACTGCAAAAAACTTACAGTGTTAATTAAATATAAGTATAGTAATGCTATTTAGAAACTAGGCTAAATATATAAGGATAATTAAAACTAGGTATCAATAAAGCTATTTAAGTAGACTTTAAAAGTTTGAAGGTCTTTTGCTTCACGAATTTCTTGGGGCAATTCATTCCAGTCATTGCTGGCAAAATTGACCGTTGTCCAATGTCCCCATTTATGTCTCGCTGCTAATTTACGTATGTTACACTTAGACCTAGTGTTATAAGCATGCATATCCTGATGATATGTGATTTCAAAATTATAAGAGAAAAGATTATTCTCACATTTATAAATCAATATCAAACGGTTAACAATCCTCCTGGTCTTTAGATCTTTCCAAGCCAACTTCTTCAAAGCAGAACTGGCTGATAATCCGTAATCCAGGTCCAAAATTATACGTGCTACCTTATTCTGTAAGATTTGTAAATCTGCCATAAGGGTTTCATTCCCTCTGTCTCCCCATACTGTGTCAGCATAGTCAAAAGATGGCAAAATATAAGAATTATAAAATAATATTCTACTATGTAACGGTAAATAGTTCTTAATACGCTTTAGTAGTCCCAGCTTCTTATTAATCTTAGATTTAATAAATTCGATGTGATCGTGCCATGTCAAGTTATTACTTATCATTACGCCAAGATACTTGTATGACTCCACTTCTTCCAGGGGTGCATCTCCAACGGATGTTACTAAGGACGTGGACAATCTTGATAAGCGTGGACCACTACCGATAAGCATAAATTTGGATTTCTTAATATTAATAGTAAGATGATTCGTTTTCAGCCAATCGCAGACTCTTGTTAAATCAGAGTTCAGTTTTTGTTGCAATAGCTTTGGACATTTGGACAAACAGTATAAAACTGTATCGTCAGCAAACAGGGTGACGTGACAGGATTCTAATACATTCGGCAAATAATTAACATATATCATTATAAAATCCCCAAACATAATTCTCTTTCTCGACCATGTCAAAAGATACACTAAACCTAATAAGTTCTTATAGTCTAGGACCTGTATATGAGTTTGTATGCATTTCATTTAGGACAGATAATCTCAACTGTTTTAGGGTAAGTTGACCATGACGGTCAACATGGTAACGCTGCCCGAACCCCAATCCGGGGCGAAACGTCCGAAACTGACCACACCCAAAAATGACGCTTTCGCCATACTGCTATCTACCAAACCATAAAAGCTTTGGCTATTCTGAGGTACTTATATGGTTCAGAGATGGTACTTTTGGGGGTGGTCATTGGTAAGTGTGAAATGCCAAGCACTAATATTTCACAAGAAAATGGCCATGCAATAATCATAGTTAAACGTCAATTTGTGGCTTGCAAATTCAGATAAACAGCAGTGGACTTACATTACCTTTTTCTCTAAATCTTTTTGATAGAAACATAAATGTTACTTATTTAAATATATTATCACTGGTTTGGTGTAAAATAGTTAATATGTTCTGACCGAAATAATAATTTGAAATGTGCCTACCTCCTGCAAAAGGACGTATTTGGCCAAGTTCTCCACTTTACTCCGCTGTTTATCGGCGATCTCGTCGACATCCTACAAAAAATGTAAATCATCTCAGACATAATGGTATCAAGAACATTTGAAACAAGTTTCAACTTGGTTTCAAGTAGATCATACCTGTTTAACCATCGACAAGGTAAATCCACAACTTTGTCCAAATTCGGCGCCATTTTGTCATCGCATGTCGCTTGTTAACAATTCAGCCTTGTTACTCTTCCATCCAAGCCATTTCCATTCCACTAATAATAAATTTAACCCTTTATAACGGTAGGAAACTAAAAAATCTAAACAAAATATAAGAAATGCGCCATTTTATCACCCTGTAAAATTTTGCTCACGAGTCTTTCAAAACATTCCGTACAAATCGCGTGACAAAGTAACAGGGACGTGACAGGAGGGGGTGAATTATTTCACGAAGATAGAAGGCTGCGTGAAATAGACTAAAAGCTAAATACAATCATACAAATGTTTGTTTTATTTCTTGTAGCAACAAATATATACATATTATTATTTATTAATATGAAAAAGTCATACAAATTAAATGTTGATTGTTGGTTTTACCATACTGTGTGGGCTTTCCTTTCATTTTTCAAGTCTCTACCCCCCCTGTCACGTCCCTGTTGCTAAACCACGCGAGATTTGTACGGAATGTTTTGAAGGACTCGTGAGCAACATTTTACATGGTGATAAAATGGCGTATTTCTTGTATTTTGTTTAGATTTTTTAGGTCCTCCTGTTATAAAGGGTTAAATTTATTATTAGTGGAATGGAAATGGCTTGGATGGAAGAGTAACAAGGCTGAATTGTTAACAAGCGACATGGGATGACAAAATGGCGCCAAATTTGGACAAAGTTGTGGATTTACCTTGTCGATAGTTAAACAGGTATGATCTACTTGAAACCAAGTTGAAACTTGTTTAAAATGTTCTTGATACCATTATGTCTGAGATGATTTACATTTTTTGTAGGATGTCGACGAGATCGCCGATAAACAGCGGAGTAAAATGGAGAACTTGGCCAAATACGTCCATTTGCAGGAGGTAGGCACATTTCAAATTATTATTTCGGTCAGAAAATATTAACTATTTTACACCAAACCAGTGATAATATATTTAAATAAGTACCATTTATGTTTCTATCAAAAAGATTTAGGAAAAAAGGTAATGTAAGTCCACTGCTGTTTATCTGAATTTGCAAGCCACAAATTGACGTTTAACTATGATTATTGCATGGCCATTTTCTTGTGAAATATTAGTGCTTAGCATTTCACACTTACCAATGACCACCCCCAAAAGTACCATCTCTGAACCATATAAGCACCTCAGAATAGCCAAAGCTTTTATGGTTTGGTAGATAGCAGTATGGCGGAAGCGTCGTTTTTGGGTGTGGTCAGTTTCGGACGTTTCGTCCCGGATTGGGGTTCGGGCAGCGTTACCATGTTGACCGTCATGGTCAACTTGCCCTAAAACAGTTGAGATTATCTGTCCTAAATGAAATGCATACAATATATATATATATATATATATATATATATATATATATATATATATATATATATATATATATATATATATATATATATATATATATATATATGCGCGCGCAATACCATCACGCACGCAATACCATCACGCAAGTAGCCTTTCGTGCGCACGCAATACCATCACGCAAGTAGCCTAACGAACTCTCACGTAATCATACAGGAATTTTTTTATTGAGATTTAAACATTGTCGCCTGAAGATACTTGTAGTCGTGTTTTATCACATATAAAATACTCCGCTACGCGTCGTGTTTTATATGTGATAAAACACTCCTACGCGTGCTTTAAATAGTACATAAATATACATACATATTGTGCGTAGTAAACTCTCCAGAGTGCTCAACACCAATAAACTGTGGAGCAAATACAAAAACAAAAACAACAAATTACAATCTTAAAATTTTATTTCATCGCTACACAGTGTTTTACGTACAGTGTATGTGAAACACTGTGTAGCGATGAAATAAAATTTTAAGATTGTAATTTGTTGTTTTTGTATATATATATATATATGAGCATATGAGCATGCTCAAGGTTGGAGGCCTGGCGCCGCCACTGTTAGTTTGCCTGTGTGTGCGTGCTTCATGCGCCGAGGCAAGTGTTAAAGAATCTTAATTGAAGGGGAACTGTCGTACCCAAATTAAGGGGGACTGTATGCATAATATTGATACAGTTTCTGGCCGAACACTTAATTCCATTGAATGATGCTGCAACGTCAAGGCCAGTAAAGTTTGATTTCCTTTCAAAAACATGTGTGGACCTAACGTTAAAATCAAATTGTCTTCATCATTTAATTGTCTTAAATCTAACTTTAAACTTGGTGACGCTATTTCTGGACAGCATGTAGCAATAATTATAATATAATGTAGTATAGTATTATATGATATAATATAGGGGAACTTGGAAGTCGCTCATGCAGATAATTTATATATGCACATCGTTGTCATGCAATGTTTTCAGTTGAGGATTGCATATTTATCCATAGCAAGATCACAAACATTTTGCATGGTAATGGTCATAAAATAATAATAACTTCGTTATTTCAATGTTATTTTTATTTGTTTAATGAAAAAGTTACAAGTGTTTTAATGGTGCGTTCAAACGAGATAGGTCTATTTAACTATTGTCTTCAAAATTGTCATTAGTTTAGTGTAATAGTGTGCTGTTATTCTTCACCCAGCCATTTTGCATCATTTTCTGGAGCTTGCTCGTTAGGAGATTCTGTCAAAAAAAAATTTTCAATCACTTTTAATTCTCAAATAACTACCGTTATCTCTCTAGTAAGCCCTCTCGCAAATAACCTCCTAAATTACCCCCCCCTAAATAACCCCCCTTTGTTAGATGAAGAAATGTTTTAAGCCCCTCACTATTCGTACAAGAACAAATGTCTTTTGATTAGATATATTTGTTTTCTTTGCACCAATTTGTTTTTGCATATAATTGTATACTGATAAATTAGTAAGCCCCCCTCTCTCTATTAAGCCCTCCCCCTCCAATAAACCCCCTCCCAAAGATGCCTGGAAAAAATAAGCCCCTCCCCCGGGGGCTTGAGAAAGAGATTAGGGTAACTTGTATGCTCTTAGTTATTCAGCAAACCTACCAACCCTGGATAGAGTATCATTTTGAATTCAATCAGCCAATTTTGAAGGCAGAATTTAGGTGAGTTACGACCCCAGAGTGGGCCTATATCACCACACGTCTAGAGAATAGCTTTATCAGTTCTAAACTATATTCTCTCTAACACTGTTATAAAAAAGATAAACAATTTTATACCTTCATCTCCCAGCCCAAATACAAGGCATTTCCAACCTATATAATGTGAAAGAAAATGAACCACAACAATAGACAACTTGCATGTTAAACTAATTTTGATCTAGGCAAAAGAAAGTAAATTCCTTATTCCCGTAAAGAACTTGTTAAAAATTGCAAAAATTGGTTACGAAATGTTGTAAAATACGGAAAATATAGCCTTGCGAAGTTTGCATATTTTGTATATGTTTGTATTACGTGCGGAAATTGCTACCATTTTTAAGCTGAAAATGTTAACAATTTTCGCACGTAATACAAACATATACAAAATTTGCAAACTTTTCAAGGCTATATCCTCCAAGCTTTACAACATTTCGCAACCAAATATTGCAATTTTACTAATTTCATTATGTTCTTTTTAGCCGTGGTGTTTGATGCCCTTCTCTTTACTTAGATTAAAATTTAGTCTAACATGCAAGTTGTCCATTGGAAATACAAATATTAGACAACTCTCATAATGTTGCCATCACATAGTGTTTTGTTCAAAATTTCTATAAGATTGCCTCTTGATTCAGTGGTATAACCCAAATTAAAGTTGATGCCTAATTTATTGTGAAATTTATCCGTACGTATTTTTGCGAGTTGAAAAATCACTGTTGTGTTGGGTCAGATACCGTTATATCTGGCTTTCCGTGCAACTGAACAGGCCAGGGATAATCGAAAATGGGTACCTCTAAAACTTTTCTAATGTGGAGTTTTTCTACTGAAATTTAATTTGGGATAATATTACGAAAGTTGGTGAGATAATTGGAAGTATCGCATATGGTTTTCCCGGGATTGTAGAATTCAACGTGGGAAGCATCGCCTCCGTATCCCCTAGCTTATCTCATGCACTGCCTGAAGCAAGTTATAATCGTACAACCGATCTTGTGTAGATGCGGTATGCTTACCGATTTTAGGGAAGTAACGACCATATTTGCATATTTTTCGCACAATGCGTCTCCCACGGACACGGATCCATCTACGGCGACGACGACGACGACGACGGCGACGCCTCCGTGGTGTACGTTTGAACAATTCGGGTCCATCGTCATCATTTGATGGTGTCTCATTTACGCTCTCCAAGACGTTCTCTCTGAATTATTAAAGAATGAAGATATGCATTGATAAATTCAGTTCATTTCAAGCAGATCTTAGTTACAGCAGATGTATAGGTGTAGAATTATGCAGTATATAACGCACAGAAATATGATATGTTGACTGTTGTGCCGGTGTGACGCGAAATTCCTGACTTGCGAAATATCTGACTATTGTAGAACTGCCCATGCGCAGACGATGTGCATGAATAACTTTGGCTCATAAATTTCGCAACTCAACAGACAACATGTGTATTTATAAAGCATTACTATAAGCACCAAAAATTGTTTCGCGTTTGACCTTCTCAATTGTCACGATTTCAGTAGCAAACAGCAACGGTACAATGAGTTCGTGAGTTGCCGAGTTGGCCGTTTAGATTTGGCGATGTCTATATTAGAAACATTTGTGGTAACATCGCATATGGACTTAAAAATCGTTTCGACCGATTGTATTTAGCAAACGTCGTGTATTTCGCGGTCACGACCACACAATTCGCTTTCGGAAATTTAAAGTGTTTATGATTGAAACTTAGCGATGTCGAGTTGAAATATTAAAATTAACGAAGTATTAGCAATTAACATAGCATGATTATTTTATCTAAACTCTAAAAAACAGTTTTGGCCGACATAGAATTTAGCAAGCGTCATGTATTTCGCGCCTGCACGCGCGAAATTTCTGACCCGTTATGGCTTGGTCAGGTATTTCGCAGAGGTCAGGAATTTCGCTTGACACCGGGGTTTCTTTTGGTGTTGCATGGCATTGTAAATGTACAGTTTCAGTTATGGTGTAATGCGTACGATGTAATATGTAACATTTACAGTATGATGTAATATGTTATATATACAGTGTTGTACAGATACAGTATACAAACTCAATCCGAAGGCGAGAGGTTGTATGTCTGATACAACACGTACGTAACTGTTGTATAGAACACGTACGTAACTTGTGAAACGTCTCGATGAAAATGTTCGTATTCTTCAACAATTTAGAATAAATGAATGATATTTGGTGAGAAAATTGAACTTAAAGTTTATGTAAATTAGCATATTTTGTATCAGATATGCAAACTCCTAAAACTGTCTGTACCAGTGTTGGTAGTACCAATGTGAAAATGCTGTGCTGAGTGGTTATATTACTACCTTCAAAAATAAGACCTTCGTCAAGAGTTATAGTAGCCAAACTCCTTCACACTGATGATCTCATATGTATTTTCTTTATGAATTGTTGCGTTTTACGAGGCATGTTATGAAATGATGTTGGTATGCTGTACTCTTGTAAGGTGTGCATGATATGCCATGTGTTAAGTAATGCTGTGGTGTGGTATGGTGTATCGTGCGGTTTAGTGTGGTATATTACATGGTTATAATATGATGTGGAATGGTATGGGTGTTATGGTGTGTAGTACGGCAATGTATGATATGGTGGCTGTATATGGCATAGCGTGGTGTAGTGTATAGTGTGATATGGTGTGGTTTGGTGTGGTATATGGTATATTATGCTTTGTGGCTTATGACATGATTCAGCTTAATACAAATCTTACTTCACTTACGTTTCAACTAAAGTTTTGGGATCCGATTCTTCATCACCGTCGTCTTCATCATCGTCGTCATCATTTTCAGTATTTTCAAACGAATCAGGTCTATATATGTGAAGTCGAAAAACAATACGAGTTTCATAAACAGCCCAAGGATTTCATACACCAGCACCAAAACGAGTCTAGTCAGTCTTCTTTGTTAAATCTAGCAGAAACTTCGGTATTTTTAAGATTTAATTTCTCAAAGATAATACATGGTATTATATTTATATTTTGTAAAATCTTGAAGAATTCTATATAAGGCGGCAGTGATAATTATCTCGGGAGAAAAAAGAACGAAAACCATTTTTCGAATCGGTCTATGGCTACAATTCGTATTAATCGTTAATGAGATTGTTTAAGTAATGAGACATGACAAACTTAGTCGACTAAAAGCTTGAGTTTTGATCTCAAATGTTTGCATGCAAACAATTTTTTCAACAAACAACATTTGATAGTAAACTGAATAAAAAAGGTAGAACTTACAATTCGTCCTCATGATCATTCACTGCATCTTCCAAAGCCGGTTCTCTGAAATCATCTGTAGTTTCTTCAGTGTGTCCAACACCAAGGAACACAGCACAGACTGCAACCAGCAAGGCTAAGATTGTCCAACACTTCATCGTGATGGCTGACTCTCTCTGGTTAACTTGCCTCTTTTCGTGTGCTTTTATGCACTAGGTAGCCCGAACTAGCGGATATAAACGTCTTCCTTAAGGGAGGGACTAAAATTGTTTGCCAATGTAATGATCCTAAGGCTTCCGCCCTATGGCAGTTCAGTTCAAGTGTGATTTTCAACCCTCAAGAGTCAAAGACAAGGTTATAGTTTTAATTTCCTTTCGAAACATGTTTTCTGTCAAATTTTTGTCAACTGACCTGTCAATTTTCATATTTTTTCATTATCACCGTGTGAAAACGTCATTAGTAAGTTTAATGGTACCAAGGTCTTTTATATCGCGAACGAACAATAGTTTCAACAGGAAATCCTCTGTAAGTGCGGGGAGATTTGGGTGTTTTCGAGAGTGCTAGCTACCTTCGAGAGTGCTGGCTACCTTTACTTGATATTAAATCTTAAAGTGCCTATGACATGAAATTTCATCCCAAATGTTTAAGGTTGCATTGTAACGATCATTTAAAATGACTTAATAATTTATTTTATAGAATTTTCGTAACTCGCTTCCTTTTCAAGATATTCAACTTTGTTTCGTATGCAAATATCACCGGTGTGACATCACATCGCATAATGAGTTTTCTGAAAAGTATAGTTTTCTTGACGAATACGTAACTAAAAAACTTAAAAATTGCCCTTGTACATGTATATATTTCATAACTGGTAATTAACCCTCTGTATTTGTTTTTAAAAATATTTTATCAAGGTAAAATATTGCGTTTTCAAAATGTCATTATGCGATGTGATGTCACACCGGTGATATTTGCATATGAAACAAAGTTAAATATCTTGCAAAGGAAGCAAGTTACGAATATTCTATAAAAGAAATTATTAAGTCATTTTAAGGGATCTTTACAATGCAATCATAAATATTTGGGGTGAAATTTCGTGTCATAGGCACTTTAATTATTTACACATAACCTATACATGGCAGTACCCTAGTATATATACACATGAACTTGTGGTTAGAGCTCGACAACTGTCTCTCTGTAGCTCAGTTGGTTAGAGCTTGACAACTGTCTCTCTGTAGCTCAGTTGGTTAGAGCTCGACAACTGGACTCTGTAGCTCAGTTGGTTAGAGCTCGACAACTGGCCTCTGTTGCTCAGTTGGTTAGAGCTCGACAACTGGCCTCTGTTGCTCAGTTGGTTAGAGCTCGACAACTGGCCTCTGTTGCTCAGTTGGTTAGAGCTCGACAACTGGC